ATCATCACATATGTAATATTACAACTGTCATTGTTTACATCATGTATTGTATTTCAATATTACATGCCAAAACATTCAATGTATGATGAAACAAAACATAACATGATATCCATGAATTCTGCACAACCTGCTCAACGGTTTCCTGAGAATACAAGTTATTTTTAAAAAAAGGTCAACATAAAAATGTTGGTGAGTTCATAAGCATGTTTGAGAAAATGTTTTGTATATTTTTGTAAACACCAGAAAATTCGATATTTTTTGAAAAACAGTTTGATATGCTTGTGACCGATATTGTATTAATGCATGTGTGTTAACGTTTGATAAATGTAAGGAGAGTATAAAAAGAACGACCAAGAGCATAAGAGAATGCCCACAGACAACCCGATGTTGTCTGCAAATGAGAATGCTGGTATCTCAATCCCTGAGATTGAGTACCAGCGCTAGTATATTACCGTTTTATCCAAATAACAAGGAGAATGGTTTCCCGTAAATTTTAAAACATTAATTCCTCTAAGTGAGTCGTTATAACCATACTAAATAATGACAATTTCGCCTGTCTTGGCGTTTTTCGGATACCGATGGAAATAGAATAAGGATTTTTGTCACCCTAGACTGGCCTAGTCTAACTGTAGCGAACAGCTCAGGTGTGGGGTTTCACCCCCGTAAAGATCTATACACAAACTCCCGCTCTCCCTCCAGGAGACTCTGGTTATAACTACAGGCTACGATTGTACACTCAATAGGTGTCAACCGACACGTCTCACTAGATAAACACGTAAGTGGACAACTAAGGCCCACTAAGCATGTAAATTATTTCCAGAGTCAACAGGAATGAGAATATATATATATATATATATATTATATATATAATATATATATATATATATATATATATATATATATATATGCCCCGGGCCCAATATACATGCAAAAGAACAACTAAGGCTCATTTATCATGTACATTATTTCTAGGCCCAATAAGGACGCAAAGGTGTATTCCGGGCCCAATATACATGTAAAAGGACAACTGGGGTCCACTAAACATGTACACTATTTCCAGACCCCAATACGGATATGAGTATCGTGTGTTAACCCGATTGTTATTGTTTTGTAAATTTTTGCCCAATAAAGGTAAAATGACGTAACTTATCCGTTGTTTGTTACATTGGTGGTATAAGCTTCGTTGGTTACCAAATTGATATGAAAAATCCATTTTTCTTGTAAAAAGACAATTTTGGTCCTAAAATCGAAAATTTGCGCATATTTTTGGTAAAAATGACATTTTAGGCCCCTTTCAAGAACAAAACTTGCATTTAAGGATAGTTTTAGTAAAAATAACATTTTTAACTTTCTTTAGTCAAAAATATCATTTTTGGTTTGATTTTTATGAAAATGTGCTTTCTTGGCCCATTTATAAATAATTTTATCTTTTTGGGTCAAGTCTAACAAATTCACATTTTTAGTATTTCTTAGCAAAATTTACATTTTTGGCACAACTATATTGAAAATGACACTTAAGGCTCACAAAGTCCAAAAAGTTACAATTTTTGGCCCACAGCCGTGAAAAGCCCAAATATGGCCCATTTGTGATTTTTTTTTTACAATTTTAGTCCTTATAGAGTTCCAAATGCCATAAATATCCATTTTTAGAAAAAGTGGTCCTTTTTGAACCCCTAAAACAGTGAGTTACATAAAAATATCTCATTTTTGGTTCTTTTTCCACTTTTAGCCCTCTTATGCAATTTTCTTAGTTTTAAGAGTACATTACACGAATGGTCCCTGTGGTTTAGGCTAATTTGCGTGTTTGGTCCCCAACTTATTTTTTAACTCGGAAGGTCCCTAATGTTTGTTTTTGTTACGTGTTTGGTCCCTGTCTTACCTAAAAAAACTATTTTACCATTGATTTTTTAATTTATTTAAATAAACACACTCTCAACCCCACCCCCATCACCTTATCTTAACTTCTGCACCATTTTTCCTTATTTAAATAATAGTCTTTTTAGGTAAGATAAGGACCAAACACATAATAAAAACAAACAGTAGGGACCAAGCGCGTAATAAAAGCAAACAGTAGGGACTTTCCGAGTTAAAAAAAATAAGTTAGGGACCAAGCGCGCAAATTACCCCAAACCATAGGGACCATTCGTGTAATTTACTCTAGTTTTAAATAACTTTGATGTATTTTAAAACCTTTCCTTGCATAATAAGTTACATTGAGTGTTATGTTTCTACAAATAGCATCACATTTTAGTAGATCTTCAAGTTCATGAAGTTTATATCACATTTGCACACATATAACATGAAAAACACACAAAATCATGCATACACACATAGATCTACACAAAACAACTTGTATTTTCCCCCAAAACATAGTAAAAACCGAAAATAGGGGGTATGAACTCACTTTGCTTTGAAGATTTCGGTTTTTTTGATGAAGATTAGAGGAGTTTTCAGCTTTACAAGCTCCCTTGAAGAGATTTTCGAGATCTATGAAGTTCTAAGAGCATGGATCATGAAATGAAGTGTTAAGGAGTGAGGATTATCATAAAATGAAGTTAATCATCAAGCTTAAAGAATAGCTTACCAATTAGTGGATTTTTGGATGAAGTGTTCTTGGATCAACACGTACGAAGTCTTGGAGGAAAGGAGAGGTTTCTTGAGTGTTAGAGAGGATTCTTGTGTTTGCCAAATGAGAGAGATGTGAGTGGTGTTGTGATTCTCGTCCAAGACTAGAAGAAGAAGAAGAAGAAGAGTGATTTGATGTTGCATGGAGATATGGGATTACATGGTTATATGGTGTGTAATATGCCTAGATATCCATTAAATAATAATTAGGTGGCAACACCTTAATTATCATCTTGTTATTATTATTATTTTTTTTAGAAGTTGGGTCGAGAATGAGGGAAAAGAAAAGAGAAAAGGAAAACTTTGGGCCATACTAGCTCATATTTGACATTTTGAGGCCCAAGTTGAGAATTTTCGGCCCAACCATAATAAAAAGATGGGTTTACGACCCCATCATGGCCCATGATTACAAAGTGATACATTTTAGGCCCATAAAGGCCCATGAGAAGTCTTATGGCCCAAAATGCTATTATTTTATGATTGTGGGTCCAATTGAAGCCCAAATGGGGTTCCTAGACCCAAAGTAATCAATTTGAGAGTTTATTGGCCCATTAGGCCCAATAAGAGGATCATGGTCCATCCTGAGGTGAACCGGGTTATTAGGGTTTCAAACCCACAATTGAGTATCTGAGACGTGTTAATTTAGGTCTTGGACTTCACTCAGGAGTTTTGAATCAAATGAATGTTTTTGATTGAGCATAGAGTATGATATTCACTTAGATTACAAGACTTACAAGAGTTGATGTTTACATGAAAACAGAATTTCCTAGCTAAAACTGCTAGTTGTGACAATTGGGCTACCATAAAGAAGTTCCCGATTGAATCATTTGGTAGTAGACGACATAAATTCTTTTGTTGTTAGAGTTCCAACGTTCATTTCTTGGGAAGAACTCTTCACTTAAACTTCCACATTTGATTAAGTCCTTCATATTTAATCAATTCATTCACATTTGATTAAATCCTTCACATTTGATTAAGTCCTTCACATTTTATCAAATTCTTTACATTTGGTTAAATCCTTCACAAGGTTGCTTAAATCATGGTGAGCCGAGAAGTTCACAACAATCCATCATTTGATTTTTTTTAGGGTAGGAAGGAAACTTTAGGTTTTTCTCCGACTTGTCATCGTAAACGACCATGGTTTTCTCGTGGGTAGATTTAGTCCTACAACGTTATTGTAGTACAGATCTAGACATAATGGGGAGTTAGTCGATTCATACCTATGATAATATCGAAGCTTCCGCTCGGAATTGGTATGAAGTCTATGAGTAAAGATCGATCGCTCATGGTTGCTTTATCATTTAGGAGGGGGGGGGGGTCGTATAATGACTTGACGTGATATAAACAAAACCGTGCCAAAAAGACGACGATATCGGACTTTCAGTGAACATACGCACGAGATTAACGTAACGAACATGAGGGTTATTGTCTTAAAAAACATACTTTAATTTTTAAACCCTACTAAACAACCCAAAGAAATATAGTAAATAAGATAGTCAGATTATAATAACAATATATTTTCCATTAACAAAAGAGGATTACACACATTGTTTATACAAAATTGTCGGTGTATACACAAGTCTTCATCCACTTTTACAAAATAACCATCAAACATACCAACTAAACTGGACAACAACATATCTGAAACACATAAACCTAAAACAAACACAATATTACATGATCAACACAAACACCATAACGACCAACAAATCACTTCTTCAACACATTAACAACCTTCGCCACCAGAAACCCAAATATGACAAACACCAGACCAATAACACAGTGACATAGTGCAACTTCTTCTCCGTCTGCTTTAAACGACAATTCAATGCCAGTAGGCCCACATTGCTTATGACTAAATCTCGACCCATTTCTTCTTTCAGACGCTTCACTTCAAGTTTTTGTTCCGCAATCTGAGCTCCACATTCACAAAAAAATGGTATGCAATTGTCAAAGTTGAGATGGTCCCTTGAATTTATTGATACCGATTCGGGTGACTGTGGTGTTGGGGTAGCCATTGTGATTCACGTGAAAGGGATGTTTGTCGAATTGTCGGAATCTTTTAGTGGAAAAGGGGAATGAAGATTTAGGTTTTCAACCGATTTGCCCCTCCTTTTATGTAACAAGGGAGGATACATAGTAAGTGGTAACCTTTAGGGCCCAAATATTCCACATCGACCCAGCTGAGTGACATGGCAATTGATTTGACTCAGAGTTGAGGCATTGACTTATTGTGACTTGTATGGTAACCTTTTAAAACAGGTAAATAGACTAATTTAGCCGATAATTTAACAATTCGTTCCCCTAAAATGCAAAAAAAAAAAAAATAATAATAATAAAAAAAATGGGTTGGAGTACACAGTACACTGACATTTACCCTTTAAAATATTCTACTCTTTTTTACACATTAACCATAAACATATCTTAAAAAACAAGTCTAATAAAGATACAAAATTCTTTGATTACAAGAGCCTGTACAATTCCTCTAGTGGTAAAAGACCAAAAACCCCTATAGAAAAAAAAAGGAAAAACCAAAAATAAAATAAAAACCCTTTTTACAATTTCGACCCATGAGAATCAAGAATTCAACATTGGTACACCGAAAAACTCTTGCTCTTCCGCCAAAAACTCCACGCTTTCCCCATCTTCCTCCTCGACGTCGATTTACTCAACACTTTCCGTTCTTCACCACCCTGTCCACCGCCCTGAACCACCACCGGCGGATCCCTCTGCCGCATCTCCCTAAAAACCATCAACAATTTCTGCGCCTTTTGTTTCCCTCTCATCGTTCCATTAACCGAAATCGACACCAAAGAAGGAATCACCCCTTCCTGAAGCACCATTTCACTGCACTTGTCACTTCCAGTGCACAAAATCAACAGCAACGCCGCCGCCTGCTCCTGCACCTCCGGTTCTCCCATATCCAACAACATCGATAACCCACTTACCATACCCGGACCCTCTATAATCTCGGATCGACCCGAATTGGTCACAGCTAGGTTTATTAAAACCGCTATGGCTCTCTCTGTCCACGATCGGGAATCCGAATCGGTGAGAAATGGTTGCAGGGCGTTGATGATGCCGGAGGATATGAGTCGAGGGACGTTTGAGTGGAAAGATGAGAGATGATAGAGAGTATGAAGAGCGTCAATTTTGCATTGGGAATCCAAGTCTCCTTGAAGAACTTCGATTAAGAAAGGAACTGCTTCGCTTGAACCTATTATGGGCTTTGCTTGATCGAAACATGAAAGATTCAGGTATATAGCTATGGCTGCTCCAATTGATTTTGAACTTTCGATCATTTGTGCCAATAACGAAAGTATCCCACTAGCTAACATCATTTCTTTGTTCCTAAAATACAAATAAAGCATAAATTACAATGTACTATAATTATAAGTAGTCAAAACAACTAAATGAAACAAATAGTAACCTACTTCCGTTTATTTGTTTGAGGTTAAATGCAAGAATATCAATGTAATTTTATCAATTTGTTTATTATAATTGCATAGAATTTTCAAACTAAAGAGACCAAAAAATGATGTTATAATAAACAAATTAGTGAAAGTAAATTACTATTTCTTGCATTTAACCTTTTTCAAAATACTAACATATACATACCTATTATTATTGACAGCAAGATTAAACAGAGCCATGGCTCCACTTTCTTGAGCAAACTCACTTTGCGCATTCAAAGCCGATTCCAAAAACCGCAACAAAGCTTCAACAAAACCATTTGCACCCATATAAATTCTCGCCTCTTCATCATCCTTCAACAACCTCCTTATTTCCTCCACAACCCTACACTTTTTCCTCAAATGCCCCTCACCATGCAACACCGCCAACAACTCATCATACCTCTCAAACCCATCACCGCCAATCTCCGCCACAACCGCCGCCTCATCCTCCTCCACCGGAAAAGGCACCACCTTCATCCCCTTACACTTAACCAAACCACCACCGCCACTCTCTGGCGGCGGCTTTGAATTCACCGATTCACTTTCCGACAACGACAGCCGCCAGTAATTCAGATCATGAGACTCCGGCGGACCTCCGGGAACCATAACTCCATTCTGCTCACACCAACTTGCCACCAAGCCTTTCACACAGTAATTAGGAGTCAAACCGAGGTGACTTAATTGTTGTTGAGTTTTCGGGCAGGTATCGTGCCCGTCTCCAAACCATTTCTCAATACAAATTCTCTCGTACGTCTGCCCGGACGCGATAATAACCGGATCGTACATAAGTTGTAAGGAAATCGGGCAGCGTAGTTCTTCGGGCGGCATCGTGACCTGCCCGGATCGTGGGAAATTAGGTTTGAAATTAAATGAATTTAGTTTCGAGAGATGTCTTTCAAACCCGGACCCACTGTAACCCTCGAATGAACCGATTGTGGGTGAACATGGGGTAGAGCCCTGGGAGTCATTGTCATCTGAGAAATCACTTCTGAACAATTTTGAGTATTTTCTCATGAGGTGTAAAAGATATGCAACAATGGATTCTTTTCTTTTGTCTTCTTCAATCCTTGCTTTTTCAACAAGTTTTTTTAAAGCACGTCTTTCTCGAAGAGCGGTTCTTGATGATGTAATGCCGAGTTTTGATGCGGCTTGATGGAATGTTTCTAATTCGTTGTTGTCACTATTGTTGTTGAAGTTTTTACCTTGTTGAAGTAATCCGATTATTTCATCGCCTATTTGTTTTTCTATTGGATCTAGTGAAAACTCTATTCCTTCGAGTTCGGTTAAAATATCGGAAATCTGGGACACGAAAAATTCATCGTTAGATCATAATGTTTCATACTTTTTATTTATACAACTTAAATAACGCAAAAATCCGTACGAAATTTCTATTTGAGGTAAAAGGACTATTTTACCCTTGTGTTTTGAACTGTCCAAGTGGTAAGAAGGTGACAATCCATAAAATAGATCTTAGGATAAAGCCTAATAATCATCGCATTCTTTGATCATGGTTACAATAAAAAGACCAATTTACCCTTGTCATTTTGGGACATGGTGATTTACCTTTTATCATTATCATGCCTACCCCTTTTTTTATAATAAGATTTTAGGGGACACGCTATAATAACAATTTTTTAATTATATATTTTTTACACTATAAAAGAAAGTTTTAACACCTGAGAAGCTATAGCTTGTGGAACTATATCTTCAACCCTCCTAAGACTATCCTCGAGAGACGATCTTGCTTTCTCAAATTTTAAAACAACGGAATCTCCCGTTATAGCCTGTAAAATATACACAATGTTAATGAATAAATATGCGGCTTAAAAAATAAAAATCGTGTAATTACTTTTAATGGGTAAGTAGGTAAATCTAATATAAGATGAAAAGAGGATAGATTTTGTACCAAGTAAATTTTGCTACATTCAGTGCAGTGTTGAAGAAGTGTTTTTGTTTTCTCTAATGCTATGTGCAAAGAACATAATGCTTGAATCCCTGAAGTGCTTCGAGGACGTGATGCTTCTAACTCAGGGAAAACGGTCAACACTTTGATGTAGATCAAAGAGAGCGTCTTACACATTCCTCCGTGTAGCTATAATAAAACAAACATATTGAATTAATAAATTATATTTAAAATATATTTGAGAAAACTACTGCAGAATTGAAGGAACATAAACAAATAATGAATAAGTCCATCAATAATAAGTAGATCAAATATTGTAATTAAATTAAAAAAATAACGATAGATTTACCTTCGGTTCACCCAGCGCAAACATATTCTCTTCAATTTCGGAAATTTCCATGATTTACATTCACAAAAATATGATTTTGTTGACTTTAGATAACCTGAAATGATTAGCATACGACAGCAGTTACATTTCCGTTAACTCGGTAACTCAGATTCATCGAGATAATTCACGATCAGGTGTAGCAGAAATTATTAAGAAAAGTCAAGGAAAATCATGAATATGATAGAATCACTAGATATTTTGTTTTGAATCAAATAACGACGATTTGAGGGGTTGAACCAAATTTTTAAAAAAATAATTAAAAACAATTATATGAACTCACAAAACAGGAAATTACATAAATTTGATCAGTAAATTACAAAAACAGAACTAAAAACAAAAAAAGAATTTGACAACAACCAATTTGGAAAAACTTGATCGGTAAATTACACCAACTAAAACCAAAAATAAATAAATACTTCAACCATTGCTAGAAATCTCTTCAATGAAGGATACAAAGACAAAATAAACGGGGTTTTGTAATTTCTACCAAAAAAAAACAAAAATATATACATTGAAAGAAAACAAACCTAACGAATTTCAAATCACGAGAACCCCATTAATTAAAAAGCGAAGCAATAGTGAGAATGAATTTTGGGTGTTTTGCCTGAAAACGTACCAGGGTGAACAGGGAAGCTTCATCAAACGAACATTTGAACGAAAAATTAATGAAGTAATAAATCTTTTAGGGTTTCGAATATGCAAATATTATCCATTCGTTTCGCAACTTTAGATTTGCACATGAATTGAGTAAAAGTCAAGAACAGATGCAATTGTTGCCAAATCTGAACACAGACAGAGTAAAGGGAAAGATAACGACTGAGAAGGGGGGGTTGGATTTAGAGGCGTAAATGGTAAAAGGGGATATTTTGAAATGGACACAAACTAGGGATCGAATAACATAATAATATTATTAAATAATAATCACAAATCAAATCTATTGATTTAATATTTAACATTATAATAATATTTTAATCTTTTAATTATTGAAAAACAATTAAATAATTTATTTATGAGTTAAATGTACTATTTACTTTTTAAACAATATGTTTTTTATAATATTAGATGAAATATTTTGTACTTTAAGATTTGTTCATTGTGGTGTGGTGATTTTTTTTTATATATTTGGATGAGTTCTTTCAACATTTTGCCTTAAAAAAAATAATATATGTTTTTATTAAATGAGAATTAACGTATTTTTTTTCATTTAATTTATAACGCTTTTATTAAAAAACACACACAAAACAAATGTTCATTATTACAAGACATTTTTAAACTAGATGATTTTTATTATTTTACATGAAATATTTTGTACTTATGATTTGTTCATTGTTGTGATTTTTGATAATTTAATGAATTATTTGCAACATTCTGGGTTAATGAAAATTAATATATTTTGTTTTTTTTAATACATGTTATTAAATGAGAGTTAACGTATTTTGTCATTAAATGTAAACTGACCTTTTTTTAATACGAGATTATTATAAAAACATATAAAAGAAAAAAACTACATATTTTATTTTAAATACGTATAATATTTGATTTTGTGCATGGGTTTAATAATAATTATTGTAAGTTATTAATATATTGTTTAATTATATAACAAAAATTCTTGATTTTGTTTCATTGCTAGTGATTTGAATACACATATGACTCATTTATAATGAAGAATAGTCGTGTCACAATCTCCATTTTTTGCCATGAATTTCTAAACTGTATCAGGCCATTAACCGATTAGAATGACTTCATACTATTTAATTTTATTAGATTTTATATTTATATGTTATTGAATTATAAAATTTGAATCACACATTACTTAACTCGTTAAGTCGGTTGAGCATGGTATTATTTAATGAATTTTTTGAGTTACATTATTGAGCGGGTAAATAACTAATTACACATTGTTTTAATATAACTAATTTTTATAAACTTGTGTTGTTTCTTTTAAAAACAACATAGATATATAATTAATGTTTTAAATAAATATTATCAATGTTTATCAAATTCAAAAAATTCAAATCTTAGTAGGGAAAAAAAAGAATTTAAGTATTTTAAATTGGGTTTTGTCATATAATAAAAACTAATCTATTTGGTTTTTAACAAGTATAAATCATTAAAATTTTATTTTTAATTCTAGAAATTTAATACCACCAAAATCAAACGAATGCAAAATACATACATGTTATTGTCTTTATCTTCAGTTAATTGTCAATCATATTAATGAATATAGACCAAATATGAGCGAACTTTTTCTAAATTAAGTAAACCTTACATTTTGCTTGAATATAATTGAAGATAATAAAATATATTTCAAGAAAATTAGAAATGATTAAAATAAATAAATAGGGTACTTTAATTAAAATTTAAGAAAAAAGGTGATGGAATTTTCCCGCTTTTGTCTCTCCCCGTTCACAGGCGGACAGTTGCCGACCTCCCAAGTTTGTCGGTTAACAGATCTCTCTTCTTAACTACGACTCTAAATACCCAAACTGCCCCCTCCCACTTTTTATTATTTCTTTGAAGGTGTTCCCATTTTCCCCCATACAAGAAAATAGGTATTTTGTTTAAAAGCAAAATATCAAAAATTGGGTGGACCATCATTTCAAAACATGTGAAAGGCATTTAAATGCTTCATGGTTAACTAATCATTTTATTAATAAGCTATATTTGTAATTACATATAATTTCCTATGCATGCAAATGAATAATAATTATAACATGATCATTTAAAATCTAAAATTGTTTTAGTTAATATTATTTATTTAATATTATATTTTATGTTATTGTTGTAAAAGTAAATAAAGCTAGTTAAAATTTAGTTGTTGGCTGAAAATTTTATTGCTAGCCGGTAAAAAATAACGTTTGACAATTAGCTGATAAACTAACTGGAATATATAAAATAATATATATATAATTAATAAAACTTAATAAACTCCTTAAAGCATCAGTTTAAAAAACTTAGAAAAAAACCTTTATTCTTGATTTTACCAAACAAATATATCTTTAGATCGGTTTGTGCATTCTCTACCGCACACTGTGGTTATTGATTTGGCACGATAGTGTGTGACAAACACAGCTCTGATACCTATCCCCCCCCCCCCTACAAAAGCCTAAAACCTTACCGTGGGTGATGACCTTACCGTACCATTTTTCTTTCTTTTTTATCGTGTGTGTGTTGTGTGTTTTTGTGTGGTAAAGTGTGGTATAACATTCATCGGTTTTGTGGGATAACTATGAAGAATGAAGGGAGATGCATTGCATGAGTTGCAATCGAAAGGGTCATACCGCAAGATACTGTAGAAATCAGCCTCCACAGAACCAACAGTCCAGCAAGATACTGGGGGCAACTACACTTGTTATGGGTGTGGAGAAACTGGCCATTTCAAACGCGACTGCCCCAAAGCCAACAACCCGGGGGCAGGAGTGTCAGGAAGGGTATTGACAATGGGTCAAGGTGAAATAGTTTAGCACCCAACGGTTGTGACTGGTACGTTCCTACTTAACAACACTTATGCATGCATTTTATTCGATAGCGGAGCGGAACGAAGCTTCGTTAGTAACAAATTCAAACACTTACTAAAACAACAACCCCAGAAGCTCAACGAAGCCTTTACGGTGGAGATGGCTAATGGGAAAACGGAAACAACCGAAGATGTTTACATAGGGTGCACATTAACACTAAACAATCACTCTTTTCAAATAGATTTGATGCCAGTAAACATTAGGAGTTTTGATGTGATAATCGACATGGATTGGTTAAGCCCCCATTATGCCGATATTATGTGTCGCAAAAAGGTCGTTCACCTTCATCTTCCCAATCACGAAACCCTAATAATCTATGGTGATAAACCTGGCACCAACCTTCATCTTTTCTCATGCATCAAGGCACAAAAGTGACTGCACAAGAAAAGCTACGCTTTCCTCGCTCATGTTGTGGATAAAACCAAAGAAGAAGTAAACATTAAAGACATCCCAGTGGCATGTGACTTCCCGGATGTGTTTCCAGAAGACCTTCTGGGAATACCCCCAGAAAGACAGGTCAAATTTCGAATCGACCTAATACCAGGAGCCACATCAATTGCCAAATCACCCTACAGGTTAGCTCCCGCCGAAATTCAGGAGTTATCCAGCCAACTAAGCTAGTTGTTAAGTAAAGGATTAATCCGACCAAGCTTCTCACCCCGGGGAGCTTCGGTTTTGTTTATCAAGAAAAAGGACGGGTCTTTCAGAATGTGCATCGATTACAGGGAATTAAACAAGCTCACTGTCAAAAACTGATATCCGCTCCCTCGGATCGACGATCTATTTGACCAGCTTCAAGGAGCTAGTTACTTCTCCAAAATAGACCTGAGATCTGGTTGTCATAAGCTTCGAGTCCGAGAAGAGGACATTCCAAAAACTGCCTTTCGAACTTGATACGATCATTACGAATTTGTTGTGATGCCCTTCGGTCTAACAAATGCCCCCGCAACATTTATGGACCTCATGAATCGAGTCTGCCGCCCATTCCTTGATAATTTTGTGATCGTCTTCATCGACGATATTCTTATATACTCTCGAAGCAAAGAAGAGCATGGAAAACATCTCCGTCAAATCTTGGAAACCTTAAGAGTTGAAAGACTATATGCGAAGCTCTCCAAATGCGAGTTCTGGATCCGCAGTGTAAACTTTTTGGGCCACGTAGTCAGCGAGGAGGGGATTCACATAGATCCTTCCAAGATAAAGGCCATTGAAGGTTGGGCGATCCCGAAAACACCAACATAAATTCGACAATTTTTGGGTCTCGCGGGCTACTACCGAAGGTTTATCCAGAATTTTTCCAAGATAGCTAAGCCTCTCACCACCTTGACACAAAAAGGCGTGTCTTTCAACTGGACGGAAAAGCAAGAAACCGCCTTCCAAACCTTGAAACGAGCCCTATGTAGTGCACCAGTGCTATCCTTACCGGAGGGAACCAAAGACTTCGTAGCTGTGCGATGCTTCGAATCAAGGATTATGCTGTGTCCTCATGCCACGTGGAAAGGTGATAGATTACGCATCCAGATAATTGAAGACTCACGAAGTAAATTACACCACTCATGATCTCGAGCTGGGAGCTGTGGTCTTCGCCCTAAAAATTTGGAGGCACTACCTCTACGGTACAAAGTGCACCATCTTCACCGATGACAAAGCCTCCAGCACATTCTAAACCAAAAGGAGCTAAAGATGAGGCAGTGAATGTGGGTTGAGTTGCTAAATGATTATGAATGCGAGATCAAGTACCACCCAGGCAAGGCTAACGTGGTAGCTGATGCCCTGAGCAGGAAAGAATACTCAGGTCGGCGGGTGAAAACCCTAACGACACCTAACCTCACAGATCAAGGGAGCCTAATCGGATGCCTTGAAGCCGGAGAACGTCACGAATGAAACACTGTGTGGGATGGATAAGAACTTTGAAGCCAAAGAGGACGGAACTTACTACTTCATGAATAGAATCTGGGTCCCTAAACTTTGGGGATTCAGAGAAATAATCATGAACGAAGCCCATAAGACGCGATATTCCGTCCATCCAGGGTCGGATAAGATGTATCTGGACATTAAGCAACATTATTGGTGGCCAAATATGAAGGCAGAGATCGCCACTTACGTGGGCAAGTGTCTCACTTGCACCAAGGTGAAAGTGGAGTACCAAAAACCATCGGGACTATTATAACAGCAAGTAATACCCGAGTGGAAATGGGAAAGGATTACTATGGATTTCGTAACCAAATTACCTAAACCAGCAGACGGATTGGATGCTATTTGGGTGATTGTAGATAGGTTAACTAAATCCGCTCATTTCCTGCCAATAAAAGAATCGTACAAGATGGAAAGATTAACCCAAATCTATATC